TGGGAGTTGGGAAAAGGAAAGGAGTCACTGGGCTTTGGTTCTGAAAGGGAGCAAGGGAAAGTGCTTTGAACAGGGATGGTTTGAACTCTGGCTTTAATTAAGCCTGGTGTTTTTTTTTTGTAGGATTAGTCAGAGGAAATGAGTGTGCGTAATGAGACATCATCTTTCCCTTCAAACAGACCTCCTGTGGTTCCTTGGAGCGACATTGTCCTAAACCATTACAATGCTGATCAATTGGCTGTTTGGAAACCTCAGTAATTGCATTTGAAATCCTTTTAATTGCCTGGTGGTTGTGGTATTTACAGTCCTCAAACTCTCCACGATTAGATACTTTGCTCCTTTTGCAAAGCTGCTGTCTTATTACATTTTTGCTGACTTGCAGACAATGGTAGTTCCGGGGGGGGGGGGGGTGCTCTATTCTTCATTGTGCTCTGGTTTATTCTCCAATACAAACCTGCCCGACATTGCCAAGGACATTGTAAGTTGAAAGTTAGGATGATCACAGTAGCCCCTGAGTGACAGGGGCCCTGAAAACTGTAGAACATAATTGGTTGGCGGCCCACTATGATATGCTTTCATGGGGCCCAAAATCTCTAGCAGCACCCCTGGACATTGTAGTAGAATTGCTCTTGCACCAATAACAACTCCAGCAAGGCTAAATCGAGGCTGGATGTCATTATGAGGCGTTATGGCTCCACCAGCCAATGCTGCATCCCAAAAGATGATTCTTTGTGAGAGGCAGATTCTCGCCATTACCAGGTTTTCTTTGCATTTGAGTACATGCTCTCTAAGTACAGTTATTTAAGTGTGGCTCGCTGGATGACAGTCATTTATGTCCCTTGAAGCGCATGTTAAAAAGCTGTTGTGCCGGCTGTAATTTCATGCCATGCATTTTCCAAGCGACGACCACAACGATGCTATAATATATTCCTGATATATTGCAGTAGGTCTGACTGACAGGCATTCTGTGTATATGTAGCTAGTGCAGTAGGTATGGTGTGACTCTGTGTTTGCTTCTTTTTATTAAAATCTAATTTTTTCCCTCACCCGGTATAGAGAGCGTGTTTGTACAGTCGGCGTAATTATAAATCACCTTAGGCTTAAATTACTTTATTTTTGGCAAACCAACAATGCATTCACCATAGAAAACCCCAGTTTAACGTTTAATCCCAATCCATTAATCCATTAATTGTCTGTATGCCACCGCCTGCCGGTAATCGGTGATACGGACAGGCCCTATCCGAGTCGCCCAGTGTCCGTGACATTTCCCTTTAATTTTCCGTAGTGTCCCTTGGTGTAGGACCGCATGTCTGCCTTCCCCGGAGCGCCGGGTGACCGAGCCGTAAGATGTACACGTCCTCCAGGCACTTGGAGGTTTCCCCGGGCTCCGGCACATTCTGGACATTCGGATAAAGGCTGAGCTCTTTTTTTTCCCGCGGTGGGCAATTTAAACGACAAGTCCAAAGAAATATGTGCATCGTCCCCCTCGCTTTTTCTCTCTCTGATGTCCAAACGGAGAAATTAAAGGGTATCGTCCAGTTCTCTGTGAGAAAGGCCTCAGTAGAAAGACAAGGTGTGTATGGCGATAGACGGCAGGATCAGGCAACCTGCTCAATTTAAACAGACTGGCCGTTTTTGTGCTGTTTTCTGGGGCCGCAAATTGCTGCAAATAATCTTTTACAGTTTTATATAAATATATGTGTGTGTGAGTGTTTGTGCGTGTGTATGAATGTATATATGCATATATGTATGTGTATACACTCAGTGACAAAAAAAGCACCCAGAAGTAATGCTTCAATTTGAATGTGATTTGGTACATATACAGACTAGCGATGGGCATGTAAATGGTTCGATTTGCAAGGAGCTGGCACGTCTAGTCACCAGACACAGAGGATGCCTCGTACACGCATTAGACAGCATTACCAGCACTTGACGGAGTTTGATAGGGGTCACATTGTGGGTTTGCATGAGGCTGGGTGGTCGTATCGTGCAATTGCCCGGCATGTGGGGCATGTGCATGTCAGTCGCCCGATGCCATGCGGTGGGCACGAGAGGGCACCCACACACGTCGTGAAGGTTCTGGCCCCCCAGGACAGACCACACCGAGGGAGGATCGTCGGCAAGCATTACAGAACATCATGACATCTGGACTCTCTACGACACCCCGTGTCATTTTGCACCATGTCTTGACGACTGACGGTGGAGTGATGGCGAGTGGCGTTGTTCCGTGTTCAGCGATGAATCTCGGTTCTGTATTACCATGGATGTCCGTCATGTGTGCGTATGGCGGTGCCGAGGGGAGAGGACCAAGCCCGCCGATGTTGTGGAGAGACAGACCGGCGTTACTCCTTGCCTCATGGTGTGGGGAGCCATAGGGTATGACTTCAGGTCATCTCTGATAGTGATTTGAGGGACCCTGACAGCACAGCTCCACGCCAGTAACATCCTGTGTCCTCATGTGTTATCCCTCCTGAGACAGAACCCTGGTACAGTCTTTCAACAAGACAACACCCATCCACACACAGCACGTGTGTCTATGGACTGTCTGCGTCATGTTGAGGTCCTCTCGTGGCCAGCCAGGTCCCCCGATCTTTCCCCAATTGAACAGGGGTGGGATCACCGTATTGCCGCATGTATCCAGGCTGGGGGGGGGGGGGGGGTGCAACACCCTACTGACATGGGATCAGCAGTGTGCCCATACTGTGTTGACCATTTGATCTGATGATATAATCATTGTGATACAGTCGCATGATCATTCACCACATGTAGATTCATTTAATCCCCACCACTCTGTCTGGGTGCTTAACTGTTTTGTCATTAAATGTGTGTGTATATATACTGTAGTAGGGTTGAGCAGTTAATCAAAAATTAATCAAAACCGACATTCAGAACCTCTAATCGACGTAATCTTGCCCATGTCAGTTACTTCATTTTTTTTTTTTAATCTGTTAATGCTTTGTCCAATGTGTTCATGTACTGTCACCTTAAAAACATACTACCTACTACCACGTGTGTTGTCATGTGACTTCGCCCCGTCCAGTCTGCGATGTGGAAACAGCATGGAGGAGAACTCAAACACCAAGCTGACTGAGCAACTCCAGCGGCTTATACCAAAGAAAAATGCTGTGTCCATCATTTGGACACATTGTGGCTTTAATGAAGACGATAACGAACAAAAAGAGGTCAAATGTAAACACTGCGGAAAAACAGTTTCAGCTACCAAATGTAATACCACCAATCGGTTTCAACACTAGCAATATTTAAAATACAGTGGACACCTATTATAGTGATGATGGTTATAGTGATCAACCGCTTATACAGATCAGAATGCTCCAGACAGAATCAATACTGTAAAAATACTGTTCAAATAATTTGCTTATAGTAATAAAGTAGTCCACTTACAGTGTTCATTTTGGGGCTTTTTGTACATAACATGGAAAATATTAAAACTTGCTTACTTTTCCTTGCGGTAACCCGTCTGCTTCTGGCTAGCTACCTGTGGCTAATGCTGCGTGCACCGAAAACATGACGGGGAAAAGAAAGTCATTTTCTCTCAGTTACGAATATAGACTCATCAAATTTATGACAAGCTGCCAAAAATGAACCAAGGAGATGCAGTAGCAAAACTACAATAAGTTACATATTTTGTACAGTACTGTACTGTATTATAGCGTATTTCAATTATACACAGATCAGTAATTTAATTTGTGTACTGTAACTTGGAATTCAGTACTGTAATTTGGAAAGCATATGAAACAGCTGTACTGTATTTTGAAAGAGCCAATAAAATTCAGTAAATAGCAACACTGTCCATTTTTATTACCCTATATTCGTGCAATAAATACACAAATATCAATTATACAGTAATCTGCCTGAGACATAAAGAAAGAAAATGTGTTATAATGGTCATCTGCTTATAGTGATAAAATTCACCCAGACAGATTTGATCACTGTAAACAGTTTGTTTGCAAGAAATGCAAACTATTTATTTTCTACTTTTTAGGGAACTTGATTTTTACATTAAAACTAAAATGTGACCTTTTTCATAAGGCGTTTTCATTTCAAGTGATTTGTGCTTTGATTTCAGTTGCTCGGAATATTCAATGAATAACCATAAATGCGTCCTCTGTGTGTTTCCATCAGTTATTTTAAAATCATAAAGATATTGTCTTTTTCATTAGAAAAAATATCCCAGCTTTAATAGTTGAGCATATTTACAGTACAAACCTTGTCAACCTTGTCAATGAAATATGAGGGTGAAAGAAAAACAAAACAAAAACAAAATAATCGTTCATTAATCATAATCGAGGTAAAATTAATCGTGATATTGATTTGAGGTTATATCAGCAGCCATAATATGTAATATGTCTGTATATATGTATATATATTTTTGTTTTAAAGTATCAAATGCTCCAGGCGGTCAGTGATTTCCTTCAGTCTATTTTGTTTTTATTTATTCTGCATCTCCTGATAAACATGCACTTTACCTTAATGTGTAGTATATTTGCTCACTCACTTCCCCCCACTGCATCCCACCTCACTCTATTACACTGCCATGTTTCACCTTGGGCTGAGTCATCCTCGCGGTGCTGCCAGTCCACGGTCGGAGGTGTTTACAGTTTTGATACGTTGTTTCTGTACCCCCCGCCCTCCACCCCCCCAGCATACTGGGGACAGCCAGTGACGTGTTCTCCTTCCCTGCTGCCTAGTTGACATGCGGTGTGTTTTGGAAGGTGATCTGGCGCCCATGTGTGTCTCGCATCATTCACAGATTGTCTCACACACAGTAGATTTAATCAGCAAAGGGGGGTCGACATATAGCCTAACCATATAATTATCATCCGTTTGCTTGTTTTTGTATAAGTGGGAGTTAATGGGCGTTTCGTATTGACATATGTCTAGTGTATATATATGGGCAAGTAAGCTTGTGTGCCTTTGCTGCACATACATGTGCCGGAGGGTGCTCTGAACCAATCGTTTGCTCTGTCCCCCCCCCCCAGGAGTGATGCCAGCTCCCGAGCAGCCCCCCGCTGAGGAGGACAGGCTGTGTCCTGTCCGGGAGGGCCCCCCTGGGCCTCCTGTGGAGTCCCACAGCATCGCGACCAACATCCTGGCCTCCGTCAAAGAACAGGTATCACCTGTCTCGCGCTGGGGGGGGTGGGGGGGGGTCAGACCTCTGGCCTAGTGCCCGCAATTGAAACATTTGAAAATTTGACACTTTATTTTGTTTATAAAGCTGATATTTAATAGCATGTTACAGGCTCCTAGCCCAGGTGCTCTTGGGACCTAAACTGGACTGTTTGTCTAATTTGTCTGCTCCACTGCCTTGCCGTTCACGGTCCCCGAGCCCCGCGCTGCCGTCGCGGCCGGCTGCTCTCCCCCTGCTCTCTGATCCAACCTGGATTTACCTTGCAGGCGCTGTTTGTTTGTGTATGTTTTTCCTTTTTCCTTTCGTTCACCCCCCAACGTGCGTTTGTTGCTGCTGTCGTGAGCAGGGCTGGCTTCCTGGGGTTTGTGTGCGCGTGTTTTTAACCGGAAGGATGGGGGCCACAAGGAGGAAATGCCAGTGTCCGCGGCGGCTCCGTGATCTGCACGAGAGACGGGCCGATTCCTCGTCGCATCCCGCTTGGCCGCGGCCCCGTTCCTCTGGGCTGGCCTTCTCCAGCCCCTGTTTACAGAGTTAACAGGATGGAGGGCTGTGATGGATGACACCCACAGAGGGGAGGGGTAGTGCGAAAGGGTTTCGTGTTCAGGATCCTGGAGGCTAGACCTAAAGCCCCATCCATGTGCAAGTCGTTCCTGTGGGACCCCCAAAAACACGGCAGGAAATCACCAGCCACTCGGAGGGGGGCATCCTTTCCTCTATTTTTCGTAGGTTTTCCTGTAATTGTTCGAACTAAAAAAAGCACAAGTGTTGGATCGTGTCTGCGTAAACACACAGGGACCCATGATGAACCCGGCCGGTGTTGAGTGCATGTCTTGTCTCCCCCCCCCCCTCCACACCAGCACCACCTCTGGCCTCGTGTCTCTGGCTCTGCGGCCCTAAGAAGGCTGGTGCTCCTGGGCTTTTTGTCACCACCCTCGTCGTTCCGCAGGAATCCTGTGTCTCCTCCCTGCCCGTGGCCCCACGCTGCGTTTAATTAATGCCTGGTGCTACTGAGGTCCACCCTGTTTGCGTGATGCGTGATGCGCCGCCAAACCGTTCCTCTGATTCCTCCTGAAATCTGACTTTCCATTCATTCACTTTTTCCTTTTTTTTGTTTTTTTGTGTTTTTGTTTTTACACACGTTTGCTGTAATGTTTATAACAGTGGTAGGATTTCTTTTCTTGTGTGGAGGAGTGGGGATATTTCTGTTATTTCTGGGGTATTTTTATCCGCCCGGGTGCCCCGTGGGACACAAGCGGCAGGAGAGACGGGCGCATGGCAGAATCGGCGGCGTGTCGTCTTTCGCCGGCTCGGCGGTCGCAGTGAAACGCCGGTCTCCGAGTACGGCACGGTGATCATCTGTCACACCAACGTCATGAGGAGCAGTGTGTATTTATCATACCGTGGATGTCCACACAAATATCACATTTTGAGAATATAGAGGACCTGAAAACCTTGGCATTTGTACAGCATAATACTTGCAGACATAAACAACTTATAATAATCTTGTGCATACAATATATACAATATCCAGGGAATATACAGTATATATAGTATACATACAAGGACAAGGTGTGGAGATTTAAACTGGTGGTGATTTAATAAATAACAGAGGAATGTTTAACAGATGTGGATTGTTTATTGGTAGCTTTTGAGTTTTAATTCTATGTTTCTCTTATGGGTGTGCCATGCCCTTCTGTAAAATGTGTGTCAGACCTTCAGAAATGTGGGAGTTTTCAGTGATTAATGTGTCCGGCATGAGGATCAGGTGATACTGGGGGTGGGGTGGTATTTTAGTTTTTTAGCTATTTTTTTTTAAGCTGTTAGCTAATTTAGCCTTAACATGGTCGGCTGCCTCCCCATCTGCGCTCAGGCCGCTCAAAGCAGCCAGCCAGCACCGGGTGCTGGGATGCGGAGCGTGTGAGAGGATACCCGGGCCTGTCTCGGCTAACCCGGGCCCGTCTCGGCTAACGCACGCATGTGACAGGACTGGCTCATGTAAGGTGGCTCATGTAAGGTGGCTCTTGGCGTGTCTTGTTTCTGACCCGCGGGCCTTTAGTGCGCCGTTACGAAAGGGCTGCAGTCAAGCATTAAATAAACATGGCCAGCATTTACTTCACCCAAGGAGCACTTAAGTAGCTGTAAGCGCAGGAAAAAAGTAATTGGGCGGCCGCAGGAAAGAGGCCTGACCTCTCCATGACGACAACCTTCTCAGGAAACCTTTTTTTTTTTTGGACGTTTAGAAATACCTGCCTAGTACGTGGCTTAAACTACGAAGTATAAGTGAAGCTGTGATAATTGTTTTGCAGTTGGCTACACTGCCATTTTCCGAATTCCAGATTCTCACTGTTCTCAAGTTCTATTTTGTAAATTCATACCAGGTTATAAATAATTTTGGTGTAATTTTTTTCCCCTGCGGCCCAACCTCTGGATGAGTGCATTGGAAAATGGGTGGATGTCATTCTTAATTTTATAGATTGTAAGTTTGGAACTGGGAAAGTTTCGTATTTGAGAATGTTTAATTAAAAAGTAATTATTATTATATTATATTAGTAATGATAAACATGTCTTTAGTATTAACCTGCACAGTTATTTGAGCTTAAGATTTCCCCCCGGTAAATTTTATTTCTGTCTATCCTCTCAATAGTGCCCCCCACTGACAGTCATGGGGCACGCAGACAGCACACATAGCTTGTCTTGACACATACTGGCCAGATCCAGACCAGGCCTTATATGTTTTGACTCGGGTGATGGATGCATATTCGAAGCATTCTCCCCGCCTACAGAGGGTTCCGGAATAAACCTTGTCCTGCGATCTTTGGGAAGAGACGCTCCGGGGCGTATGGCGGGGCCGGGGACCACTGCGCTCGGCCCCCTCCGCGCGATCGCGATAGTCGGGTGTCGCCCTGCGTTAGGGTCTGGCACCAGTGACCCTAACCCCCAACCCCAGTGCGGAAGCTGCAGGTAAATGGGCTGTTTTGTAGCTAAGTGTGAATGTTTTAATTATATATGTGCCGGCATGCTGTGTATGCTTGTGTGTGTGTGTGTGGTTCAGATATACATTACATTGTGGGGACCAATCAAAAAATAACCAGAATAACCATATTTATGGTTATAGTTAGGGCTGGGTAGGGTTTACATTAATACAGTGGTATACATCTATAATTGCGGTAAAGAGTCTCTGAACATTATATATATATATATATATATATATATATATATATACACACACACACACACTGTGTATTTCAATAACAGAAGTGGGAGCGTGTATATTATGTGTGTAAGTTTTTATGCAAGATGGCATGCGACATTTCCTATAGGTTGATGCCAGCGATGGCTGTGGTACAGTTTTGCTGGATACCTAATTGGCATCAAGGGCACCCTGGTGGCAGGTCCGCCGGCTGCACAGCCAGGCATGGGCGTGGCTCTCTGCTGGCCCGGCACAGAGCCCGCACTCCGCGCTGCCGTTCCTGGAGATATGCTCCAGGATTCACGTCTCGGTGCGAGTAACGCAAACGTGTGATATTTTTAAATAGCTGCGTATAGCGTGGCTGCAGTCCCGCCTGGTGGGTCCCCCAGGGACTGTGTGGGTCTCCTTCCCGTCTGCGACCTGCCTCCCACAGGGATGGGATGTCAGAATTAATTTTGATACTGGAGACGGGACAGCTGTATGGCTGCCGTTCTTCCATGTTGGAGCGTTTATTCCGCCCTTGATGCCTGAGCCTCCGCGTTATGGCACGCCCAAGTTGGCCGTAACATGCGCCATGCTTCTCTGGGATGCTCTCCCGCTTGCTGGGGCCCAGTCACTGCTGACAAGTAGACGCAGAATTCAATTTCTGTGCGAATGGCCTACGCAAAATGGCCAGATTGGACACGTGACCCAGCTGTGGATCTTGCAGTTATGTGTTAAGTTACTAGGCTTTTGCTAGTTTTGGCAGTGCGGTTTTTTACCAGAAAACCGGCAACATCAGGAGTGTGTGCTCTGTTGGCCCCAGTAATATCACACAGCACTGAAATGTGGTTCGTCATACGTGACAGACAATGTGTGTCGGCCCCGTTTCTTCGAAGGTGTTGGGATGACTTTGTACTTAGCCTGAAAACAAGAATGATTGGCTTTAGATCTGGATTTTATCCCTGAAAATATTGTAGCTCCTGGGAAGTTATTGCTACGTTAGCTAGCAACCTGTTTACGCTTTCTATCCGGCTGTTGTGTGGAATATTCCAGAAGGCCGGTACAGTATTTTCTCTCTGGAGAAGCTGCCTCTCTCTCTCTGCTTCTCTCTCCTGTTCAGGAAGCCCTAGGCTCTTCTCACTAAAGCATGCTTTTCATCACTCCCATTGTCCTAGTTCCCCCCATAGCCGCCGTTAGCACGTTAGCACGCCCACTGAAGTCGACCCGTACCCTAATCCGATTATGTAAACCACCTCTGCTTCACCTAGGCTACAGAATTCCTCATCTAAATTACGAGGCCCCACCTCTGTCGTGACCCCTGGGGGGGCAGACAAATGGGGAGGATGTGTAATCTCTGCACGCTTTAACAGGCCCAAGCGAAGGATCCACCACGGGGGGGGGAGGAGGGGGGGACTCAGGTCATTCTCTGCGGGGGGTGCATTTGTGTCCGAGACCGTGTCCGATGAGTATGCTATTATCCAGCAAATCTGAGCTGCTTAAAAAAACAACCTCATTAAAAATAAGCTGGAAATTCAGGTTATCTGTTTATTTTAATCCTACTGCTTTTAAGATGCTGGCTGCCAGCACTTTAAGGCCTGAGGCAGGAGCAGAGCTGCATCCCCCCTCCCCCGCCAAGCCGTGTGTGTGGCCGCCACTCTGCTTCACCGGGCACTGCCCACTCCCGCACTTTGTGGGGGGGGGAATAAAAGCTTTGAAAAGCGTCTGTGTAAACGCACGCTGCCATTCGGGCAACCACGTGACTTCCCTCCAATGGCTTTCGGCACTGGAAAAATCTGCCCCCCCCCCCACG